CAGTGATGAGAAAGCTCAAGATGGCTTCGATAGTGCTGGCTAGTCATTCTGCTTTAGTGTTCTTCTCACTGATTGCCCCACCTATAGTCGTTCCCTCTAGCTATGATTTAATGAGACAACATTACAGCGCCCTGTGTATCACAGAAGTCATTGTGTATAAGTGACCTCATAATGCAATGGGAGGTGGGCGTTGGTTGAGGGGGAGGTTGTATATGACAGCATCTCCTCTGCTAATGGGCTCAAGGCAATCACGGATGAAATCATACATTCACCCAATTTGGCTTCAGTGTTTTTTTTCCTCCTCCATGTTTGTCCTTGGTCATAGCTAAAAAAATAAATAAATCTGCAGATGGAGTTCATTATCTGAAAGTGAGTCTCTGACTAAGAGAGAGAGTGCGGGAGAAGCTGATGTTGATCTGTGTCATTATCATCATTGTTTTCGTCACCAGTCGGCTGCCGGTTCTTCTGGTGACATCACGCGGTCAGTTGATGGATTAAGATTCGGGTGGCCTAAGGAAAAATAACACTGTTTGCTTTCTTTGGCAGCAGCTGATAGTGTAGTGGGACCACAGAGTCACTGCCTTCCTATTTAAGCTGAGTTTCTGGGGCTACTTAGACATCATTTTACTGCACTCTAAGTCTGAAAAGCTTAAAATGCAGGAATGAGGGGAAATGCCCACAGTCTCTTGGAACTGCTGCCAAACCAGAATAGAATTTTGTCGGTAAATGAATTAATGCAATTTGCCTTTCAGGTGTGCCTTGTTCATTATTCAATTCAATTCAGGTTAGTTTTATTTATATAGTGCCAAATCACAACAGCAATCACATCAAGGCACTTGATATTGTAAAGCAGACACCCTACAATAATACAGAGAACCTTTCAACAATCAAACGACCCCCTATGAGCAAGCACTTGGCGACAGTGGGAAGGAAAAACTTCCTCGGTGGGGCGGCCAGCTGCCATCACTAGTTTGGGGTGAGGGGAAATTGTCTTGGACTGTTGGAGTGACACACAGTGACCTATTATTCAATGAAAAGCTCGGCTTCTGCATAGATTATTTTGTTGAACATATTATGACAGTTTGTTTGTACGTTTCTGTACACTATGATTGCAAATATAGAAACTCTACAGCCTGTGACACAGAAGGAAAAGCCAGAGAGTGGAGTTTTAGTTACCGTGTTTGTTAACACTGTGGTTTTGATGAATGGATAGTTTTGCAGGTTTCATCACCTTGTCCTTGTCTGAACTGGTTTTCTGCTTATACATGCAACTTTTTAGCAGTAGCTAATCAAAGTTCACGTTCTTGCTCGCTGACACTTTGAAGGTTACTGCAGTCATTTGGCTCCTGTAATATTGTGGAACTATTTTTGAAGCCAAAATGATCTGAACTGTTGTAGTGAACCAGAGATTGCATTTTTCCTGCATTTCATTCTCCTCAATGCAGTTTGGTCGCTCACTTCTTACTCTGAGAGTTGAGTATGCTGTACTAGAGGGGGATAGAAGGGTCCAATGAGCTTTCTGCTAAGGTGTGATTTATACTGCTGTGTTGATACATGTCAAAGTTTTGTTTTTTTTTTTATATAGCCTGCCACACACACCCTCCCCAGACATTTAATGACACGCACACACACTGATTTGTCCGCTCGGTGGCGATATGCTTTGCGTCTGTGAAACAAAATGTGGTCATTTATATATTTATTCTCATTTTCTTTGCTATTTCAATCTGTGTATAGACTCTCTCTTCAGCGTTGCATTAATTTAATGCTAAATAACTGTGGCTAAACATTTATTAAGTGGGAAAAAAAGCCAACATGATCTGCTTTTGCAGTCACCATGAGAAACAGAACACGGAGAAACTCGACAGACTGGCATAGGAGCCAATGCCAGATAGCATTTTTGTAATTGCAGAATGATTCAGCCACACATGCAAAAAGAAATGTGCATAGACTACACCATAGGATGTTTTACAAAGTGTTTTTTCACACATCTGTATTAACGCCTAAAATGGGAAACACCGTTTAATAGTTAAGGTCAGTGAAGTTCTGCTGCTCCTGTGGTCTTGGGCAGGTGTTGTATGTACCATGTCACTGACAGCAGACATAACAGTCTTAAGCCCAGCTCAGTTCTGAAGTGGACTCTGTTTTATTATGGTGCCACAGCATGTTCTTTTCAGTTATTACAGCTGTTGGGTTAGGAACAGTCTGTGACCACGCACACTAATCTAACAGCATTTGCTTGACTGTGGGGACTCATTTTTAACGGGAAGTTGGGAACAGCCTGTGTTCCCAGAGCCACTTTGAAAGAAAAAGCAAAATTGCAATTGGAGTGGATAGAAAAGTATCGGGCATTCTTAAAACAAATTTGCGGGTTCCCATGCGTCGTGAACTTCGGGAAACATAGGGGTTTGGGGAGGTTTTGTTTTGGTTTTTTTGGTTTTGTTTTGTTTTTTTTGGCAAAATGTGGTTCATAATGGGCCGATGATAAGAGTAAACATTTTGTCCAGTCAGGCCGACCCGGACATAGTGCTTGATTTATAACATTTGTAAAGGAATACATTAGAAAATGAGTGAAAAACTGCAGAAATATCACACTTTCACCTACGGTTAGCACAAACTGGATCAGAATATTGTAGAAAATTGCCAGCTGTTGGGATTTATATTTCAGTGTGGCAGTAATCCAAAGCATGCTGCAACTAACCAGGACTCCAAGTGTAAACCACAAAAAGGCTGCAGAGGAATTTGATCTGTCAGGTGTAACTTTTCTAAAACGTTGATTCTGCTGATTTAGATGGAGATTAGAAAGACAGCAGCGTTGTGCTGGCAAGATACCAAAGCCCAATTCAACAAGGTTAGCAGCATTTTGGCGAGCGCTGCCCTAATGGTCCCTAATGTAGTGTTCGGTTAGAGCAGATGGGGCTGTTGGGAACAGAGCCAGACACTCAGAGCGATGAGGGGGCAGGCCCTACCGGGACTGAGGGCCCCGGGTGTCGTGAGAGGGGATTTGGAGGGGGTCATAGAAAACATAGCTTCAAATCATCGTTATCATTGATAATGGCTGTGTGAGGGGAGTTGTTATGTGTGGCCATTTATTGTGACTGGTTCAGGGGGGACTGACATGTTTCATCGAGGAGGTCGCGAGTTCAGGGCAGCGCTCAAAGGAAGCTCAGCGAGTCACCTCATCACTGCTGTTGCTCTGACTTCAGAGCTCCTCCCATCAAACCCACACACACAGGCGCACACAGCGCAGCTTAGCAGACTTTGGGGGGGATAGAATATCAAGCTCTTGATTTCTCAATGCCTCCCTGGGCTCGGATTGAGGTTTCAACTCCAGCAAATGCACATAAGAAATGTGGGATTTTGGAATTTTGGACACAAAATTGCTGTCAGAAAGAAATTCTTACAGCACAGATGAATATTCCTTGACCCTTGAAATTTAACAAGTAGGGCTGCAGGCTTTATCTACTCCTCAGAGAAAGAGTAGAATTTCATATTTGAGAGCTTATTAGATTCAGTGTGTAGTTGCTGCTTGCAATCCCCAGAGCAGAGGCTGAAGAACAGTTTGAGATTTGAGTTTTGGATTTGAAGTTTGGATAAGTTTGGTTTGCTGGTTTCGAAATCACTGGTGAGGGCGATCTATGAATGCCAAATATTGGCTAATCCTAGAGTACAGATTTTTTTTTATTAACTTGATGCAGATCTAGTTATTCTAGTTATAGGTTTTATGAAAATAAAGCAAAAGATGTTGTGATATTCCTCCCTACTGGAAGTAAGCCAACCTTCTGCTCTGCGAAAGACCAGAATAAATGAGGAGTCATTATTTATTTATTAGTAATTATTTTCTTTACTGTCTTTGTCCCATCTTTCCAGGAGTACATGGTTTATCGCAAGCACACCTACATGCGCCTCGATGGATCCTCCAAGATTTCTGAGCGCAGGGATATGGTGGCTGACTTCCAGAGTCGGTGGGTAAAGATAAAATACGACCTAGAGTGCAAGTGGTTGTGCATGCATGAAATAAGACGTCACCCATACATCGAAATATATATGGGTGTGTTTAGTCCACATTCTCTGGTTTGCATTAGTACATAGCTCTCAGGCGCCAGCATTACTCTTTTTGGAGGACAAAAGAGTTTGAAGTTTATTGGAGTTTATTGAAGTTGCGTTACGGTGCAGGACTTTCACTACTGGTGCACATTTCACATCCTGTACAGGACTTAAGCTTGACATTTTTATTCTTAACTTACATTGCAACTTCATTTAATGGCATGATATGTGGATATTTGTGCTGTAGCTGCAGTTGGAAATGATATCTTCTGATTTTGTCCCCCTCTTCTATTCCCTCCACCCCCACTCCTCTCTCACTGGCCTCCACAGAACGGATATCTTTGTCTTTCTGCTGAGCACACGGGCCGGAGGGCTTGGCATTAACCTGACTGCTGCTGACACTGTGAGCCCCTTATTGATACCATATCATAGTTTAAATAGCACTAACATTTACTAAAGGTCTATATCCAGGGCAGCACACATTCTCTGTCTTGAAGCACAGTTTGAGCATAAATAAATGTGTTTGGATAATGACTAAGGTGCATGATTGTGTTTGTAATCAGTAGGGGTAAACACGCCTCTGAAAATGATAATGTCGGTGTTTATTAACATGTCTCGGTATAAACTCCCTGTAGCCCTGTTCGCGTGAAATTAGCTTTCATGACAATGAGCGTGAAGCGATTGTTAACACAGGACATCTGTCACGTTAAAAGGCAGTTCACTTGGGAAAACACGTCATTGTTATTAGTCTCCGAAATTGCAGAGAAGGGAGTGTCTGTTTCACGCTCAGGCTTTCTTCACACAAAAAAAATGAGACAATGTGGTAAACATGGATATCTTAATTTTAAAGAAAAATATTATGACATTTATTTATTTATTTAATCCTGTGCAGGTTATCTTCTATGACAGTGACTGGAACCCCACAGTGGACCAACAGGCCATGGACAGGGCTCACAGGCTGGGTCAGACCAAACAGGTCACCGTCTATCGCCTCATCTGTCAAGGCACCATCGAGGAGAGGATACTGCAGCGGGCCAAGGAAAAGAGCGAGGTGTGTCAAAAATATCCTCCATTCTTTTTAAACCAACAACAGCAAAATAGCACAAATGCATAATGGTCATATTAATAACAGAGGTGATTAATGCTTTAATGGTCTTCTGTAATAAGATCCAAAGGGTAGTGATCTCTGGAGGCAACTTCAAGCCAGACACGCTCAAACCCAAAGAGGTGGTCAGCCTGCTTTTGGACGATGACGAGCTGGAGAAGAAATGTGAGTGTTTTGATTGGGCAGATGTTCGAGTTTCACTGTGAGGGGAAGGAAAATATGAAAACAAACATTGTGTCTCTTTCTGTAGTGCGCCAAAGGCAAGAGGAGAAGAGGCAGCAAGAGGAGAGCAGCAAGGTGAAGGAGCGCAAGAGGAAGAGGGAGAAGTATGCTGAGAAGGTATGGAACTGATTAACTGAGTTGGTGGCTGCCTGGATGTGGAGTGGAATATGTAGAATACTTCGAGTAGAAACACATGTGAAATGTTAGAGAGAAAGTTGGAATGGAAGAAATTGTAAGGTGGGAAGATAAGGAGACAAGAGTCCTGGAAGAAACTTTTACAGAAGGTTTTGTGTTCAGCTCAAGAGTGTAAAGTGTAGTCTGTTTGTTAGATGATAGACTCTCTTCTGTCTAACATAATTATAACATTGACCTGATAGTGAAGCTGCAGGAAGGGTCGAGGGGACATTGAAATCATTATGACTTATTCCTTTGAGACGTTATACAGTACATAGCTGGTGAATCTGACAGAAATCAGGTCACTAGTTTGAGATAGTCAGTGACTAAAGTAGGGTCAGATGGAAGGTCAGAGGTTCATCTAAAATCATTAAATATCTTCCTCTGGGGATCATATCCATACTGGATTTCATGGCAATCTGGTCAGTGGCTGGTCAGTTTTGTCTTGCTCTGAACTCAAGAGCTGAACAGAAAATGTATATGCCATGCAACTGACTGTCAGCGCATTCAGTTCAACTCAATTCAGGTTTATTTATATAGCACCAAATCACAACAACAGTCATCTCACGGTGCTTTACAATGTACGATAAAGTCCTTTCTGTAAATAAGAGAAAACCTAACCCCTGTATATAAGTGGCGACAGTGGGAAGGTAAACCGCCTTTTAACAGGAAGAAACCAGGAAGGAAAACCAAGCTCAGGAAGGGGCAGCCATCTGCTGTGACAGGTCCGGGATAAGGGGAGGGATAGGACAAGACAAAAGACCCACTGTGGAAGAGAGTCAGAGATTAATAATAATTAATAATTAAATGGTAAGTGATAGATAAAAACAATTAAACAAGGTGGGTGAAGAAGAAACACTCAGTGCCTCATGGGAAGCCTCCAGCAGCACAGGCCTATTGCAGGATAACTAAGGAAGGGTTCAGGGTCACCTAATCCAGGCTAACAATAAACAATAGCCTATGTTTTATCTGAATTTAGAGATCATCAGTTTAAGTAGTTATTTTGTATCATCTGGCTTCATTGATAGATATAGCTGGGTATCATCTGCATAGCAATGCCTTCTAACAATAAGTGGCTTAAACCACTGGTTTAATATTTACTAGTTAGGTTAATTCTGTTTTAGAGGGGAAAAAAATTTCACACCCCTACTTCAGCAGAATTGATTTCATCAATACCCTCTCCTGTTCCCGTTTCTGTTTTTAACTTTCAGAAGAAGAACGAGGAGCTGGAGAACAAGAGGAAAAAGGAAGTGAACCTGGTCATTTCCCACGCCCCCTCAGCAGACAACTCTAACTTGTCGGCAGATGGAGACGACTCGTTCATCAGCGTCGAGATGGACTCGGCCATGCCCAGTCCTTTCAGCGAGGTGAGGGATCCAGAGGAAAAACAGGAGAGATGGATGGTGTGTGCATGTGTGCGATAAAGAGAGAGAAATGCTTTTGTGAAAGTGTAGGTCATAGATGAGGTCATAGATGAGATCAGATTTATGTTAAATGTGATGACTTGTGGCTGCTCCATTAGGCTTCTTTGGCCTGCATCCACAAACTCACCATCTTACTTTGCATGCTGTGCTATTAATCCTCCTCCCCTTTTCTTTTCTTATCTTTTGTTTCTTTTGGGTTATTAATTCTTCCCCTATATTCTCTTCTCCGGCTTTCCTCTTCTTTTGATCCACTCTTCTGTCCTTCTTACCTTTTCTCAACCATTTGTCACTTTTATACCTTGCACATTGAATATTTCCTTTCCTTTCCTTTCTTTTCCTTTCCTTTCCTTGCCTTTCTTCTCTGTTCCTCGGACTGTTCCTCTTGTTGCCCTTTACTGTACTTACCCGGTTCCTCGTTCCCTTGTGGTGCTGACCCGCAGCCTGTATGTATGTCTGTTTGTACTCCTATGCATGGACAGATCTCCTTAAGTAGCGAGCTCCAGCCCGGCTCATTACCTCCTGATGCCGACGCGGATGAGAGCAGCAGCGACATGCTCGTCATCGTGGATGATCCGCTTTCTTCCGCGCCTCAGTCTCGTGCCACCAACTCACCCGCCTCTGTGTCTGGATCAGTCTCTGACAATATGAATGGTGAGAAAACAATTTCAGTCGAGCCATCGTTCATGGAGCGAGTAGAGCAGTATACTTTATGTTTTTCTGCACTTTGCATAGACTTGCTCTGCAGTTGGTGTCCCTGGAAAATTTGCTGTAGATCAAGACCAGATTTGACTTGTTACTGATACTCCCCACCTCTGAATTTAGGACATATCCGTTTGTATAGTGAGTGATATCAGCAGCTAAAGTTCAAAGTTTCCAAATAAATATGTAGCATATATGTAGCATTAAAGACAGTCACTTAACCCCAAAGTATGTAAATGGTGCTAAAAGTTGTGTTCTTCCTATATAAAGGCTTTAGAGGTCTCTCTTGCTCTCTGGTTGTTTAGCCAATGCATTTTTGGCAGTGTTAAACAGCCAGCCCACCCAGCCACGTATCTCATACACTATCAGAAACCTAATGGTTTGTCCTAACTAAAAATAATCTAAGTACATATAATCTCTTCCAAGTGTGGAGTTGCCAAATAAAACCTAATCTGTCATTTCCATGAGACTATTATCTTGTTCTACTGTTGCTAGAATAGCAAATTAGTGTGACTTACATGAAAGTCATCGCTGCACGTAGAAGGCTGGCTTGTTATGTTCTCTCTGCTATCTCGCCTTGTGTTTTAATAGGCTGGGGTCCATTGAGACAAGTGGCTTTTTTACCTCATAAGCTGTGTGCAGCTCGTTTCTTGCTTGTTTTACATTTATAACAGTTTTATTTTGGCTCGGCCGCACTCAGAAATCAAGATACACGGTGAATGTTTTTTCCTTTTATCTTCACTTTGGATTTTTGCGGCAAGATAATCTCTCCTAAATCCATACTTCTTCGCTGCCATGCTAAGAGGTGCTTGCCAGCAAGATTATTGATGTGTAGTGATAACCAGAGCCAGCAAGCTGGGAAAAAAGTTGGTTCCTTCAGAGATGTAGATGATGTTTAAATGAAAGGTTTGGAAGATGAGATGGAAAGCAAATAATCAAGAATCAACTGGTGAATTGAAAATGGGAAAGGAAAGAAGAGTGAAATTTAGCCCTGAAGGTCGGGGGAAGCGTGGGGAATTTTATGAAAGGTTTTCATGTGTGCTTTGGTGATAGTGATAGAGTAGGGCCTTTTTCCCCACATAGGGAGGTTGTAATCCAGAGTATTTGGAGTGAAACGTGTAGAGAAAATGCAGACCAGTGGTGGGATGTGGGGAGTCAGAGAGGGAGAAGACAAGGTACTGGAGGATTAGGTACATCACCACTCTGGCTCTGATTGTGCAGACAGTATGGAAAATGAGAAGAGTGTTCCTGTTTTTGCTTGAGCCAGCACTTACAGTAATGATGAGCCGTGATTAATGTGCAATTGCGCTTAAATGTTGCAGAGAAATTACCACAGTTGACTCTGAGAGACTGGGTCAAGGCCAAACCAAACTGAGTGTCTCTGACAGTGATGTTGTTTCCCGCCTGACTTTATTCCTCTGTTGCCTGACTGTAAAATACTGAAGAGTTTTTTGTTACTATTTTTTCCTTTTATCACCTGTGGTGTTCAGGTGTTTCAGCCTCGGACACAATCAGTCCAGGCAGAGGCAGGTCCGGGCGGAGTCGTGGGCGGCCTAAAGGCTCTGGAGGCGGTGCCAAGACTGGAGGGAAAGGACGCGGGCGTAAGTCAACTGCAGGTAGCGCAGCAGCAATGGCAGGAGCGATGGCAGGCGCGGCAGCTGCTTCGGCAGCAGCTTATGCTGCTTATGGCTACAGTGTTTCGAAAGGTATGTAAATATTGTACGGATCTTTATGCACAGGCACTGGCTGTCCAGAAATCAAAAGGAATATGTGTGTTATGTGTGCTTTGTTTACCTGTCAATGCATTTCTTGGACAAATGTTCCTAAGGACTGTTGATGTCACAACAAACATGCTTGTCCTGTTTCTCATGTTCATACATCCATATTTTCAAATGAGCACTCTTAACTCAAGAGTAATTCAGTTTTTTAAGAAATTTTTTTTTTAAATTTTTTCTTTTTCCTTGCAGGTTAACTTTTTCTACCCATGCACAAGGTTACAGCTTCACCAATGTTTCAAGCCAGAGTGCTGACCTGGCATCTCTTTTCAAGCCACAATGAATGCACTGAATGAATACCTTACTGGCTCCTGTTATGGATACAGTAAGCCAAGAGAAAGTAACAAAGGAGAAGATTGTTAGAGTCCATAATCATTCCACATCCCAATCAGTGCCACACAGTTGACACTGTTATGAACTTCTCCCAGAGATGTCTAATCAATATTTTTTTTGTTTTGGTTTTTTTGAGGCCGATGTATTTTGTTGTGGCATCACTGCAAAAAAACAAACACAAGCCAGTTATGTCTTACTGAACTGTCTGTTTGAACATGATAAATAACCTTATCATTTCCTGTCCCTAATTTCAGCGGGCCTCTCTGCATCCAGCCCTCTGCAGACCTCCCTGGGCCGGTCTGGTACCAGTCCTGCCTTTAGCCTCAGCAGAAGCTCCTCCCCCCAGACCAAAGGAGGCACCTCCACCCCGAGCCCCCACAAACAGCTGGCCCACAGCCACCACCACAGCAGCCACGGAGCAGTCAGGAAAGGAAAGGGTCCTGGCGGTCCTGGGGCTCGATGATACACGCGTACGCGTATTCGTATTAATATGCCCTGACAGATAACTGACCTGCTCTTCACTGTGATTCCCAGAGATACCCCCCCGTCCCCTCCCCGCCCACCTAAACTAATAAACAAGAGTATTTATAGTAACTGAGGCTCACTACCTGGAGGACCACGCTCTCCCTTCTGGCTCAGCAACTAAATAGAAGCTAGAGTAACCACAACAATTTAAAGGTACAGCCTCAACCAGCCTCTGCATTTGTTCATTTATAGTCATTTAGTTTTATTTATTTTTTTTTGTTTGTCCAGAGCAGTGGACAAAAACACTGCCTTGAGCATTTTAATTTTAATTTTCGACAGAAGTATTTCTAAGTGCTTTTTTGAGAAGACAAGCTGTATTCTACTATTGACGACAGGAAACCCAAAGGCGTGTAGCTCAAAGGGCTTTTCAGATCCTTGGGTTTGCCCGGGTAGCGAGAAAAAGGAGTTCCTGTCAAATGCACTGAGCCACGTCTTCCCTTGTTTTTTATTTTTAATTGTTATTTTGTTTAGATTTTTGTTCTGTGTTACTGATTCTCCTACATGCACATTTGGTTATTTAATTGTTCTGTAGATATGTTCAGCGCAAAGCTGGTGGACAAGTCTGCATTTTACAGAGCTTAATGTGAACCCACCATACCAAACAGCTTTTGTACTAAAGCTCCTATTTTTGTAATGAAAGATGTACCGAAACCAACAGGCAGGCAGTTAAAACTGTGTCCATAAAATGTGTTCATGTATAGGTGGAAATGGAAAATTTCTGATTATTTTTTTGTGTCCAATGGGGAAAATAATGTAAAAACAAAAAAAGAAAGAAAAGGTCTACTAAAATAAGGGGTACTGATTGATAGAGCAATGCTGCTAATGTTAAACGTATGAATCGATTCACATTTATTTTGGTTGTTTTAAGTTATTTAAGTTAAAAAACAGGCGATTCACAAAAATTGCGGAAAAATCTTCACCTGTAAACTGTAAATTCTGAATTCTAGAGCCATTTTTTTCTTACTTTTTCCAAAATTGTTTTCTGTGATGAGAAATCTGTGGTTCTCTTTGATGTCATTCATGTTTCAGAAACAAAAAACAGGAAGAAAAAAAAAGGTGTGCACCAGTGTCCTGAGTTGAGCACTACATCTGTTCTAATGGGTTTGTTTTTGTGTTTATAGCGTGAATAAAATGCAATGTTCTATATCGATTGTACATAATGATGAATGAAAGCGACATTTCCTCTGGCTTTTTCTCTCATTTGCCTGACTATTTTTATAAGTCACATGTACATATGAAGAAATGCATCTGTCATTTTACTAACAGGAGTCAACTGAAAATAAAAGATGGCGAAATCTGAGCAATTTGATTCTG